AAGTTAAATAAGCTAGGCATGGTGGTGTGTGACTGTAGACCCCACTTCTAGAGAGGCTGTGGCAGGAGGATGGCTTGAGCCCAGGAGTTCAAGGTAGCAATGAGCTATGATTGCACCACTGCACTCCATCCTGGGTGACAGAGCAAGACCCTGTCTCTAAAAAATTATATATATATATATATGGGCCAGGCGTGGTGGCTCACACCTCTAACTCCAGCACTTTGGGAGGCAAAGGCAGGTGGATCACAGGGTCAAGAGTTCAAGACCAGCCTGGCCAACATGGTGAAAACCCGTCTCTAATAAAAGTACAAAAATCATCTGGCTGTGGTGCCAGGGACGTGTAATCCCAGCTACTTGGGAGTCTGGGGCAGGAGAATTGCTTGAACCTGGGTGGCAGAAGTTGCAGTGAGCTGAGATCATGCCACTGTACTCCAGCCTGAGTGATAGAGTGAGACTCTGTTTCAAAAAAATAAAAATAAAATACATATATTTTATTATTTTTTAGAGACCCTGTCTCTAAAAAATAATATGCTATATATAATAATATGTATTTGTATATAATATAAAATCATATGTAATATATATTTATATATAATATATAAATTTTTATATATTATATATTATTTTTTAGAGATGGGTCTGTAAAATTAAAATAATATATATATAAAAACACCATGTATACACACATACACATATATACATACACTATATATACATATATACACATATATATGTAGAGATATACATATATACACATATATACACACATATATACATATACATACACACACACACATATATATACATATACATATATATATATATATATATATATATATATATATATGGTGTCAGATGAGAACTGGGCTGCAATCTCATCTAACTTTCCAAAGCCAACTCCCTGGCATTCCTGTAACCTTCACCTTCCATACTTCCAGAGGAATCACACCCATGGAGCCACGAAACCAAACCAATGCATCTGAATTTATCCTCCTGGGACTCTCAGAAAAGCCAGAGCAGGGGATGCTTCTCTTTTCTCTGTTCCTCTGCATGTACCTGGTCACAGTGATGGGGAACCTGCTCATTATCCTGGCCATCAGCATAGACTCCCACCTCCACACCCCCATGTACTTCTTCTTGGCCAACCTGTCCCTGGTTGATTTCTGTCTGGCCACCGACACCATCCCCAAGATGCTGGTGAGCCTTCAAACCAGGAGCAAGGCCATCTCTTATCCCTGCTGCCTGACCCAGATGTACTTCTTCCATTTCTTTGGCATCGTGGACAGCATCTTAATTGCTGTAATGGCTTATGACCGCTTTGTGGCAATCTGCCACCCATTGCATTACACCACGATCATCAGCCCATGCCTCTGTGGCCTGCTGGTCGGGGTCCCGTGGGTGTTTTCCTGCTTCATCTCATTCACCCACATCCTTCTGATGACCCGCCTCATTTTCTGCAGCAGCCTCAAGGTGCCTCACTACTTCTGCGACCTTACTCCCATCCTCCGACTTTCGTGCACAGACACATCTGTGAACAGGATTTTCATCCTCACTGTGGCAGGGATGGTGATAGCCACGCCCTTCATCTGCATCCTGGCCTCCTATGCTCGCATCCTTGTAGCCATCATGAAGATCTCCTCTGCAGGTGGCAGGAAGAAAGCCTTCTCCACCTGCAGTTCCCACCTGTCTGTGGTTGCTCTCTTCTATGGGACCACCATTGGGGTCTACCTGTGTCCCTCCTCGGTCCACACTGCTGTGAAGGAGAAAGCTTCTGCTGTGATGTACACAGCAGTCACCCCCATGCTGAACCCTTTCATCTATAGCTTGAGAAACAGAGACCTGAAAGGGACTCTCAGGAAGCTGGTCAACAGAAAGATCACCTCATCTTCCTGACCACCAGGACTCGGGAACTTCCACGGGGTAGAATATATACATCTGGGGGTCTTCAGCTAACATCTGGAATTGCATGAGTTGAAAGAGTACACTTTAAATTTTATTATTATTGTTTAGAAATAAGATCTCACAATGTTGCTCAGGCTGGAGCGCAGTGGTGTGATCATAGCTCACTGCAGCCTCAAACTTCTCTGTGTGTGTGTGTTGTTTTACTAGAGATGAGGTCTCACTAATTTGGCCAGGGTGGTCTGGATCTCCTGGGCTCAAGCAATACTTCCCCCTTCGCCTCCTAAACTCCTAGGGCCACAGAGTGAGACTCCATCTCAAAGAAAAAAAAGAAAGAAGAAAGAAACAGAGAAAGAGAAGGAAAGATAAAAAGAGAGAGAGAAAGAGAGAGAGAAAGAGAAAGAAGGAAAGGAAGAAAGAAAGAAAGGAAGAAAGAAAGAAAGAAAGAAAGAAAGAAAGAAAGAAAGAAAGAAAGAAAGAAAGAAAGAAAGAAAACAGTTTATCTCTGCCAGATTGGATTTGCCCTTGTTCAGAAACTCAGTAAATATTTGTTGAGTCACTATTCTGGGCTTCACGTTAGATGCTGGCCATAGAGTGGTGACAAGGAAAGACAGGATCCTATAGTTTGGAGTTTACAGTTGAATGTGGGAGAAGATAATGGACATGGGATAATATTGGATGGGACTGTGAACCATGAACCCAAGTATGGGATACAGCAGAGATACCAGCAGAGTCTGGAAAGAGGATTAGGAAGGGCTTCCTGGGAGAGGTGATGTAAAATGTGAAGGATGAGATGAGCTGGGCATAGTGGCTCACACCTGTAATCCCAACACTTTGGGAAGCTGAGGCAGGAGGCTTGCTAAGCCTCAAGTCTTTCACTGGATTTTTCACTTCTCAAGTTTGATACCAGCCTGGACAATATAGCAAGACCCTATCTCTACAAAACCAACCAACCAACCAACAAACAAAAAACCCCTTAAAAATTAGCCAAGCATGGTGGCATGTACCTGTAATCTCAGCTACTTGAGTGGCTAAGGTAGGTGGATCCCATGTTGGCCAGGCTGGTGTTGAACTCCTGACCTCGTGATCCACCCACCTCAGCCTCCCAAAGGGCTGAGATTACAGGTGTGAGCCACTGCGCCTTGCCTTTTTTTTTTTTTTTTTTTTGGAGACAGGTTCTAGCTCTGTTGCCCAGGCAAGAGTGCAATGGCATAATCATAGCTCACAGCAGCCTTGACTTGCTGGGCTCAAGTGATCCTCTTTCATCCTCCCAAATAGCTGGGACCATAGGTACATACCACCATGCCCTACTAATTTTTTTTGTAGATGTGGGGTCTCATGATGTTGCCCAGGCTGGCCTAGACCTCCTGGACTCAAGTGATCCGCCCACCTCAGCCTCCCAAAATGCTGGAATTACAGGTATGAGCCACCGATCCCAGCCTGGCACTGGTCTTCTTAGCCAAAGGGAAAATATCAATCAGTAGAGTCACAAGTCTAAGCCAGAAAGAAGCTGAGACGTGTCTCAATCACCTTGCATGTCTGTGGAATGCATATACATAGCAACACTGTGTGTAACAGATGGGACATCTATTCATTGCATGTTTTGTGGCATCTTACATTTCTTCAAATTGTCTCATTTCATTATTCTAAAGTCCCTATGACAGCAAAAAATTATATCCATGTCTATTGCGGAGTAATCCTCATACTTGGAGATTTACAAATGAAATGGAATAAGCAATGACTTTGAAGGGGCCAGAAATTTTCAAATGCTGCTAAAGAGCTGATATGACCTTTTATTTTTTTTTAGATGGAGTTTCACTCTTGTTGCCCTGGCTGGAGTGCAATGGTGCGATCTTGGCTCACCACAACCTCTGCCTCCCGGGTTCAAGTGATTCTCCTGCCTCAGCCTCCCAAGAAGGTGGGATTACAGGCATAAACCACCACGCCCAGCTAATTTTGTATTTTTAGTAGAGATGGGGTTTCTCCATGTAGGTCAGGCTGGTCTCAAACCCCTGACCTCAGATGATCTGCCCCCTTGGCCTGTCAAACTGCTGAGATTATAGGCATGAACTACTGTGCCCAGCCTTGCCCTTACTTTTAATGGCAAAAACAGCAATGACTTTTGCACCAACTGAATAAATACATTTTCAGGAGTTGCCCATGTGTTTTACATTTAGTTTTTTTACATCAGTCTCCTGAGTATCTGAGACCACAGGTGTGTGCCACTGTGCCTGGCTAAAAATCCATAAAATCTTGAAAAATATTTTTCTAATTAAAAAAATAAAAATAGGGCCGGATGTGGTGGCACAGGTCTGTAATTGCAGCATTTTGGGAGGTCCAGGTTGAAGAATCGCTTGAGCCCAGGAGTTCAAGAGCAGCCAGGGCAACATAGCGAGAGCCCATCTCTACCAAAATAGAAAAAAATTAGCCAGGCCTGGTGGTGCACACCTGTAGTCCCAGCTACCTGGGAGGCTGAGGAGGGAGGATCACCAGAGGCCGGGAGGTCCAGGCTGCAAGGAGCCATAGTTGCACCACTGCTCTCCAGCCTGGGTGACAGAGCAAGACCCTGTCTAAAACATAGTAATAATAATAATATATATGTACATTTTTTGAGATGGAGTTTCGCTGTTGTTACCCAGACTGGAGTGCAATGGCACAATCTTGGCTGACCGCGACCTCCACTTCCTGGGTTCAAGCAATTCTCCTGCCTCAGCCTCCCGAGTAGCTGGGACTACAGGTGTGGACCACCATGCCCAGCTAATTTTTGTATTTTTAGTAGAAACGGGGTTTCACCTTTTTGACCAGGATGGTCTCGATCTCTTGACTTCGTGATCCACCCGCCACGGCCTCCCAAAGTGCTGGGATTATAGGCGTGAGGACAATAAATGTAAGGCCAAGTGAGGTGGCTCATGCCTGTAATCCCACCACTTTGGGAGGCTGAGGTGGGTGGATCATCTGAGGCCAGGAGTTTGAGACCAGCCTGACCAACATAGTGAACAAAACCCTATCTCTACTAAAAATACAAAAATTCACTGGGCGTGGTGGCGTGCACCTGTAATCCCAGCTATTTGGGAGGCTGAGGCAGAAGAATCGCTTGAACCCAGGAGGAGGAGGTTGCAGCGAGCCGAGATTGTGCCACTGCACTCCAGCCTGGACGACAGAGACAGATTCAATCTCACAAAAACAAAACAAAACAAAACAAAACAAAACAAAACAAAACAAAAAAACCAACCCAGGCGCAGTGGCTCACACCTGTAATCCCAGCACTTTGGGAAGCCGAGGCAGGCAGATCACAAGGTCAGGGGTTTGAGACCAGCCTAACCAAAATGGTGAAATACAGTCTACTAAAAATACAAAAATTAGCCAGGAGTGGTGGTGAGCGCTTGTAGTCCCAACTACTTGGGAGGCTGAGGCGGGAGAACTGCTTGAACCCAGGAGGCGGAGGTTGCAGTAAGCCGAGATGGTGCCACTGCACTCCAGCCTGGTAACAGAGCAGACTGTCTCAAAAAATTTAACAGAAACAAAAAAAACCCTGGACTTGGGTTGCTGCAGTCCCCAATGGAGACACACGAGGGCAGAAGAAACACACAGTTACAATGTCTCAGGCGCTCCAGTCCCTAAGGCACTTTTCCCATAGAGCGTCTTGGCACAGACACTTTGCTTAATTCTGGTCCCATTCTCTACCTGACCTCAGTGCTTTTTGCCACTGGGGAGCCACAAGTCCATTGCCCAGGGGCTTCCCAAGTTAAGGCACATCGGGAAAGGGCTGAAAAGTGGCCTTACGTGTTCCAAATTTTCCACTGCAGCCCCTGGGCTCGGTGAGTCCTTTCTCATCTAACCCAGGACTGGGGCCATCTGGTTTCTGTTGTTCACAGAGATACTGAAGTTATGCAAGAAAAAGAAAGAGAGAAGGCCGGACTCAGTGACTCACGCCTATAATCCCAGCACTTCGGGAGGCCAAGGCAGGCAGGTGGATCACCTGAAGTCAGGCGTTCAAGACCAGCCTGGTCAATATGGCAAAACCCCCTCTCTACTAAAAAAAACAAAAAATTAGCAAGGTGTGGTGGCAGGCACCTGTAATCCTAGCTATTTGGGAGGCTGAGGCAGGAGAATCACTTGAACCCAGTAGGCAGAGGTTGTAGTGAGCCAAGATTGTACCACTGCAGTCCAGCCTGGGCGACAGAGCGAAACTACATCTCAATTTTTAAAAAGAGAGAGAGAGACAGACAGACCGAGAGAGTGCTACAGAGAGCTATAGAGAAAGATACTGAAGTTGTGCAAGAAAGAGAGAGGCCGGGCGCAGTGGCTCACCCCTGTACGCCAGCACTTTAGGAGGCTGAGACGGGTGGGTCAAGAGGTCAGGAAATCGAGACCATCCTGGTCAACATGGTGAAACCCCATCTCCACTAAACTACAAAAAACTAGCCGGGCATGATGGCGGGTGTCTGTAGTCCCAGCTACTTGGGAGGCTAAGGCAGGAGAATCACCTGAACCTGGGAGGTTGCAGTGAGCCGAGATCACACCACTGCACTCCAGCCTGGGTGACAAGTGAGACAATCTTGCAGGCCTCTGTAACAACTGTTTCAGCACTGACCTCGTGGTTAAGTTAAATATTTAAAGCTGTTAGAGCCAGTGCTCTTAGACAAAGGCTGGAAGGAAACAAAAGCCCACCAGGATTTTTGCCCAGGCCTCTCCTGGGCCTGGAAGCATGACAAGATAAAGGAATTCTTAACAGGATCTGTGTAGGATTAAACAAGTTTATTGGGGGTCTGAAGAAACTCCTCAGACTCTACGATTTAGCAGGAGACAAGATAAGGGTAATCACCCCTGGCATCTGGACCCATCTAGATTAAGCAAATTTACTGAGGCTCCAGAGGAAGGTCTTCAGGACTCCGACTTTAGTTATAGATTAGAAGTTAATCGGCCAGGTGTGGTGGCTCATGCCTGTCATCCCAACACTTTGGGAGGCCGAGGCAGGCGGATCACTTGAGGCCAGAAGTTCAAGACTAGCCTGGGCATCATGGTGAAACTCTGTCTCTACTAAAAATATATAAATTAGCCAGGCGTGGTGGTGCGTGCCTGCAATCCCAGCTACTCAGGAGGCTGAGGCAGGGGAGTCGCTTGAACCCAGGAGGTAGGGGTTGC